TTTAATCAACATTCAGTATCTACAAAGTCACTTACTTTTCACAAATGAGCTTCACAAAGTTAGTCTCCATGAACAATATCCCTTCATTAAAACATTTCATAAAGTTGGCCTACTGCCACAATAATGCAGTCAATCATGCCAATAGACACAGTTGTGTTGCCAGCTGAAAACATTGCCTTAGTGTTCATTTTAATAAAAATATATCTGTCACTATAAGAAAAAGTATCTTAAGCCCCAAGTATACCACTGTGTTCAGTGTCCAGAAAACAAGACCAAAGTGGAAAATAATCAGCCTTGAAAACTAGAGATCAAAAATGTCAGCCCCAATCAGTATGTCCTTGCCCTACCTGCATCACTTTTGCTCAGTGGCTACACAGTAAGGCAGGAAAAAGCAAGGATGGCTTGATTGGGGCGAGTATTTCGGTTTTGTTTCTTGAGGCAGGGTCTCACTATATAGTTCAGGCTGGCTTGAACTCACTATGTAACTTAGGCTGGCCATAAAGTCACAGTGACCCTCCTGCTTCAACATCCCAAGTGTTGAGATTACAGGCATGTGCCACTATGTTTGGCTCGGGGTTGGCACTTGTGGTTTCCAGTTTTCAAGACTGATTATTTTCTGGGAAACAGGGCATACATGTGATAAGAGAAGTTCCATACAATTAAACTCAGTTAAAAGTTTTACACCAAAAGAAATTTATACTCCGACAAAGTATACAGCAAGGTCAATATTGCATTTATGCTTTTAAAGTAATTTATTATGTATATAGTAGAATGAAGAATAAAATAGAAAAAGCATAGACAAGCAAGGCTATAAACAAGTACAGCCCCAGAAGTTCAAAGCAGGGAGAAATCAGTTTTTCAAGTAGTAATGGGAAGGGGTGGGGGCTTGCACAAAAGAGAGAGAAAGGGAAAGCAAGAGAGACGGGGTGGATTTGGGGTATCAGTGATGATTCTAAGGAGTGAGCTTGAAATCAAGAACTTGGAAGCTTGGAAGTTAGAACTTATCTAGCACATTCTTGGAACTGTAAACAGTTCAGAATTTTCACTCATATTAATAGCCATAAATTGAATATTTAAAGTTGACGTTTTGAATGGTGGAAAATAATGGAAAATTGACTAACACACCAAGAAAAGAGTCTGAAGAAGAGCATAGCAGGAAGAAATGTCATAGAGGAATAAAGTGGCACAAGAGCCAAAGAATCCAACAGACCTAACTTTTGGGCACAACAGGTGACATCTGCCAAAGCAATGTTAAAGGAAAGGCTCAGACAAAAGCTAACTGCTGGATGGAGGATGAGCCCACATCTGAGTGGAGACAGTAGGCACCATAGATTCCATTAGCAATTATGATGGAGAGCAACAGGGGACAGGATGGTTCAGGAAAAGTCTCCCACAGAACATGTTTTTAAACTGAGAAGCAGCAGTAGCAAAAGTAACATGGGAAATTCAGGGGGGAAACACCAAGGGGCTAAATCCCCAAAAGACTGAAAACATCAAGCACACAGGCAGAGGGAGGCATCCAATACTTGGATGGACCATCTTCACTCTCTCAATCAGGTGCGGGGGATAGGTTCAGGTACAGATGAATTTACAGACCAGGTAGAAAGTGTGCAAGTGTACCTGCCAACAGTTTCTTCTCAGCGAGACACCAGCAGTCATGTGATGAAGACAATGTGAAGCAAGGAGTGGTCAAGGATGGTGGTTGTCGGATGAAGTCGGCTTGACATCTGCAAGCACAGTTAAACTGGAGACCAAGAAGTCTTAACAACTTTAATATGGAGGCTTCTCGCCAGCCCTAGTATATATCTGAGAACTAGCTGTTCCTGTCTTTGTGCAGGTTATGCAATTTGGTGTGAGCCTGACAGTAATGGAAATGGAGACTATTTGACTACAACCCTTTCTGGAGCCAATGTCTCGGTTCAACAGAGAAATCTGTGCCTACAACTGTGACTGCCAGTCAGTGCTCTCAAAAGGAGCCAGGCTTAAAGAACAGACTGTCATGTGCCATATTCAAAGGGAAGAATAAAGTTGTTAATTAAAGCACTTTGCATGGGAATCTCTAGGTGTTCCAAGATTACAGGTAGTAAAACAATATACTAATATTTATCCTTTGATTAAATTCTATAGCTTTCAATTTTAATATATGCCCTTTCTTTCATCTAGAATGAAACACAGTAAAGGACACATAATTTCTTGGCTTTATGTATAATGGATAGGATTAGCAGGATTAGGAATCACATGATGTATACAATAAAACTACACAAATGTTTAAATTATTTAGCATTTGTGCCTATAGCACATAATTTCATCCTGCTGAGTCAAAGGAATTTAAAGCACCTTTTCATTATTAATGTCTTCATTCCCACAGTTATGGTACACAGCTAGGTTTCCTCTCTAAATCTAGCAATAAGAGAAAAATGCCTCGCTTTAGAATAAGGAGAGAAATTTTCTGCTTTCAAACTAATTTCAGGACTTTGATTTAGGATCTGAAATTACTATTAGTCATTTTAATTGATTTAACCTTTTTTCTCCTAAAAATATTAAGAGGTCTTTTTGTTATTCAAACAAGAACAGTAAAAAAGTAACTGTTGTATCTCAGAATATCATGAAACAATGAATATACCAAAACCCAGAGAAGATTATCACTGGTATTCTTCCCTTGCTCTGGGATCATTTCTTTTCCTGTAAGTTATTGTTCATGAAAGTAGCTGTCTTTTTAGAGCCTCATAATAAGCAAATATATACCTAAAGTATTACAGTGAACTAATCCTATGTCTGTGCCTAAAATAAAGCTATCATCATACCAACTAAAATGAACAAAAAAAATTTCCTAATTATAAAAAGATTTCTTAGGTTGTCTGATTTAGAAGCCACCATTGGGATTTTAACTAGAATGTGGTGTCACTGGACATGGATATCAGAAATCTTACTAGCTTAGGATCAAGGAAACCAGGATTGGTCATTATAGTGATTCTAGGTTGCTAGTCTTCTTTTGTGTGTAACAGATGGGATCAAAGATATAAAACTCAGTTCCTAACCTTAAGATCTGCACAATTCTGAAAAATACTTTGATACAATATTCAGTGAAGCATGCTCAATGCCAAGTTATAACAGGGAAAGAACATGAAGACCACCTGCCACTTTCATTACCAAGGAGTCGCATGGTTTTCTAGTATTTTTTGGTATCAGAAACCGAACTCAGGACCTCATGCTTGCCAGGCAGGCGCTGTGCCCCTGAGCTATATTTGGTCCAGTTATAAGGTTTTGAAGTGGATTTTATTTCAAAGTGAATGACTCAAATTTTTCTAAATTAAAAATTATCTTTAATATTTCTTTAAAAATTCTGAGAGGGCCATTTGAGTAGTTCCTCCATGATTTGAACAGATTGTTGTTTGCCTGAACATCCAGGTAACACTCAAACACTACATATTTTGAAAAACATGTAACTTTAAACACTGTATGCCTGTTTAAAAACATGATTTTATTTTGTGCTTCTTAAAGAACATAATAACCTCACACTGTACTTATACACTTATTTATTTCCCCCACCCCTTAGGAGTGGGGGAAGTCTTCCAATGTAACTGCTATGGCCACAGCAATGCTTTTGGTGGCACTTGGTCATTGAGAACCTCTCCTATTAAGAGGTACTACTTCCCCGTCCTTTGAACTTGGGTGCAACTCTGTGCAGCAGAAGGCAATATGCTTCTCTGCCTGATGCTCTTTCTCTGTATGCTTGTGTTAAGAAATCAGCCAGGCAACTGCAAGAAGCCTAAACCAATCCATACTACAAGACCACAGAAGGTACAGAACTGAGACCTCGAATCCCTATGCAGCCTTAACTACCAGCCTGAATAAATTTTCAAGTGATTCTAATTTTCAACCTTTGAATTTTCCAAATGACACATGTATAATGGAGCACAGAAAAGCCATCCTGCTGTGAATTCCTGACCTAAAGAATCTGGGAGCATAATAAATGACTGCTTTCTACTGCTAAATTGTGAGAGTAACTTGTAAACAACTATAGACACTGCAAGTGTATACAGTCATTTTTTTCAGTCTTTTGTATACATTAGCAGAATTAACATTAATGGTCCATAATACTTATGCATCATATGTGTAGTAGTTCCTGTATTTACAGACACTTAGTTGATTTGGAGTCATTTGTTGGTATTACAGACACAGGTGAATTTACAAGCTTCTATAGGCCTATTTGTACATAAACAATTGTATTTCTACAGGACACAAACCTGTAAAATAAGACATATAAGACAATCAGAGGAGAGCTAAGCATATAGCAACAAACTGTTAACATCCCTGCACGCTGACTCTCTTCCCGAAAGGTGGTAAGATTTCCTCAAAATTTTTAGTGACAAGAGCTGTAACTCTTGCATGTTACAACTGTGCCAGCGTATCCTACTTCTTATAGAGTTTAGACTACGGCAGAGAGCTGCCAACATGTTAAGCTATAGAATTCGATCCCTGAAAACTTCCATCTCGGACACACATGAGCAGCCCCACAATCAGTTTCTTAGGCCGAATGTGCTCAGGCGGCTGGTGAGGCACAGCATCTCCCTGCCCCTCGGCTCGGACCAGCGCGAAGCGCCAGTACATGGACGTAGGGGCCGCGCCCCGCGGCCCGGGGAGGTGACAGAAGGCTCCCCACGGCCCGGCCTCGCACCTGCGAGTCAGGTTCGCCTCTGCTTTTCGGGTCAGGAAGGGAGAGGGGAAGCGGGAGCGGGAGGAGGAACTACCTGGTCTCTGTCTCGCCTCGCGAGCGCTCGGCCGTCCACAGCCATCCTCCTATTCCCACAGCTCAAAGCTTTACACTCCTCTTCCTAGCGGCTCCCGAGTTTTCCCGTCTTGCACAGCTCCTCCTCCCCTCGTCGGGTCGGGGAGGCGCTGGACCCGCGGATCTCGCGGCCATGAAGACCGGGCTAGCGCCTGGGAGCCCAGCCTGGAAGCTCCGCCTCCCCGGAGCGCGCGCCTCCCGGCGCCCAGTCGCCCCGACCCCGCCCCTCCTTCGCCCGGCGGCCGGCAGGCAGGGAAGTGTCGTAAAGGCGGGCCCAGGAAACTTTACCCGGGGTAACAGCACGGCGCTTTACGGCGGCGACGGCGGCGGCGGTGTGGGGTGAGCGCCTCGGCGGCGGCGGCAGCGGGGGAGGCTGAGGGAGAGGAGCGGCGGCAGCGGCGGCGGGGACCGGCGCGGGGTGAGCCGCGAGGAGGAGCGGGCGGGGCCGCGGTGACAAGACCAGCGGTGGGCACGGGCGGACGGGAGCAGGGACGGCGGGGCGGCGGGGTGGCGCCGACGAGCGGGCCCCCGGCGAGGGTTTGGGGGCTGCTCTGCGAGGGACGGCTTTTGCCTTTGTTTCCCCGCCGCCCCCGCCGCCCCGTGTCCCGCGTGGGCGCTCACGGCCTCCTCTACCGGTGTGTGTCGCTTGTAGGATGGCGGAGGTACCGCCTGGGCCTAGCAGCCTCCTCCCTCCACCAGCACCTCCGGCCCCGGCGACGGCCGAGCCCCGCTGTCCGTTCCCGGTAGGGGCCGCCCCCGCCTGCTGCGGCGAGGACGAGGAGGACGACGAGGAGCACGAAGGCGGCGCGGGCCCGGCGGCGGCCCGGAGCCGTCCCTGCCCGCTCTGCCCGCCATCGCCGCCCCAGGACCCGCTGCAGCTCAACGGGTTGATCGGCCCCGAACTGCGACACCTCCGGGCGGCCGCCTCGCTCAAGAGCAAGGTCCTGGTCGCAGCCGAGGCGGCCGCCCCCGCCGGGGCCTCCCCAGCGACTGCCACGACGGGGGCCGGGGCGCGCCCGGACGACAGAGCCGCTCGCCCGCCGCCGCCCCTCCACGCGAGGACTGCGTCCCCCGGCCCGGCGGAGGCGGCAGCGAGCGAGCCCGCGGCGGCCCGCAACGGACTGGCCGAGAGCGCCGAGCCCGAGGAGGACGACGAGCAGGTGCGGCTGCTGTCTGCATCCCTGAACGTCGGTTGCAGTCTGAGGAGCCCCCCGGGCAGGGAGGTCGAGCCTGGGGAGGACCGGACGATACGATACGTCCGATATGAATCCGAGCTCCAAATGCCCGATATCATGAGACTGATCACCAAAGATCTGTCCGAACCCTACTCCATTTATACGTATAGATATTTTATCCACAACTGGCCGCAGCTGTGCTTCTTGGTAAGTGGACAGAATGGAAAGAGGGTGAGCCCAACCGTGATGCAGGCCATGGGGCAGGGAGAGTGAGGGTCGAGTGGCAGTGGACGTGTTCAGCGTTTCATAGTGTGTTACATGCTGTAAAGTGCGAGCGCGTGCTTCTGATTAGGTAATGGAACTGAAAGGTAAGACCTCGCGGTCGGGGCTGCCATGAAAGTAGTGGAAAGGCGGCCAGCCTGTTTCACTGGGGAGGGGGTTCCTTGGGTCCTGTTTACATTAGTTTATAACCACGGTTAACCGTCGTTCATTAGTCTTCCTTGCAGACCGTATTAATCTCTCAATTACAATCGTAATCAGGAAAGAGTGAGACCATAAACATGTTTTGATGAACATGATTGTTAGTAAACTTGCTGTGGCCACCTCGAAGAATTAATTCTTAAAAGCGTTTTCTGTAATTGTGAATGGTTTCCTTTACTTCAACAGGATAGCTGACATTTGTAGCCATCCTGCTTCGTGGGCTCCATGGCAGAAGGTGCTTTTAACGTCTAGTTGCTGAAAGAGTCCTGAAAGTTGAATAAAAAACTAGGAATGTACAGTGTTAAATAGTTATCCGCTTTTTTTATTTTTTAAGAAAGCAGCCATACATACTCTTAAACACTCCTACTTTGGTGACAGTGGGGATATAATTGACAAAATTTACCTGTACGTATCCCGGAAAGTTGACTATAAGCTGAATAATTTTTTTAATGTAGTATTAGCAGTACCGGTAGTTTCTTTATAGGAATATAGACCCAATTTCAGTTCAAATAGAACCTTTAAATTGGCTGCAGGTATATGTTTTCTATCACATATTGTTTCCATTAAATTTTATTAATTGCTTTTAAGAAGTATTTCATAACATGAAGAAAAAGTCTATCACTGTTATTTACTGTTTGACTATTGACTTAATTGCACGTAGTAATTCCTGTAATACATTTTGAGGATAGTTTAAAACTGCCTTTTTTATTATATAGCTTGGTAATAATTTGAAAACATTATCTAGGTATTGTAGATAATGGATGTTTGACTATTGTGTTAACTTTGGTTATATCTCAATTTAGTATTTTTAAACTGTAGATATTGTTCTATGTTCTAGAAAACTTCTTGTTCGGAATTCTTAGCATTGTATCAAAATAGAAGTTCTAAGACAAGTTTCCTCAGTGAATATGACAAAATGTTACAAATGTCATGTCAAATGCCACTGTAATTGCTAAAAAATGTAGGTTCATTGTAAGTTAACCCATAGAAATATATAACTGAATCACATTTTAAATTGAAATAGATGTTTTTCTGTCAATTTCACAGAATAGTTTTGTATATCTTATACTCAGCTTTTGAGTCTGGTGTAATCTTAAGTCTCTCAACTTGTCTGCTGTTTTATATTAGACTCTGGCAAACAATATTAGTAAACTTTATCCTTGATTTTAGTATAAAGCCCTCCCAATTCATCAGTTAACTTGTACTTTATCCTTTAATAGAAAAAGTTTAACATTAAGTTCTGAGTTACGGAAAAAACATTAAGTGCTGAGTACCTAGAAATTGAAATGTACTTAAGTGAATGGTCTATAAGATTTACTACTAGTAAAGGTGTGAATCTGGAGATGTTTAACAATAAAAAAATAGTTAACCAACAGGGACCATTTAGAACTGAGTCCTTTATGTTAACATGCTTTTAAATTTGAATTTCCCATAAGAACTCAATTTTTTAAAAAATCATTGTTTATGTTTGCTTTAAGTTATCTTTGAAAGACTCCTATAGATAATATAGTCTCAACTTCCCCTCTTCCCCCATGGGAAAAAATGAAAACTAGAGTGAAAATACTTAAATCTCCAGATACTTATAGTGGCAGAGAGTAAAGGTAAGATCCAGTTCTCCTGGGCTTTCATAGTAACAAGTAAGATCCTAAAAAATGACATACCCTTGACTCATTGTATGAAACTTACTGTGTGTCACAATTATCTTCACCAAGGAGCAGTTGGCTGTACAAACATGAGTCTCAAAAGATAGGAACCCTCCGAAATGTTCTGGTTTCCATTGGGAAGGCTATAATGGTTCAAATGTAATATATTACAGAATTGTCAGTACTTGATTAATAAAACTATTTGTTATTCTTCCTAATAATGTAGCAGATGTAAAAAAGTAGATGAGAGTACTACATGTGAGACAGTTACTCTGTACTTTAGACTTTATAGTGTTTTCAGTTTTAAAAGTTCTTAAATTTACTAGCAGTATAATGTAGAACTTCTTTTTATTTGTTCCTGAATTTGACTTTCTGATTTCCTTCAGTTTTCTATTTGTAGTGTCCTTGAATTTTGGAATCTCTGTTTCACACTTTTTATATTTTTTGCAATTTTTTGCTATTTTGTTGATTGAGTCTTTGGCCTAGTAGAGTTAAATCTTAACCTTCCAGAGAATTTTTTCAGGTATCTTTGAAAAAACACATAGTATGAATTTCAAAAGTATGTGCTAAAGTTTTTAATCGGTAAAACTCCACAAGCCCCTGAATGATGATTGTAAATATATTCATCAGCACTTTATTAGAAGAAAATTCAGTGTTAAGTCTTCTTTACTAAGATTTTATTAGTAACAGTGTATCATGTATTGGACTTTTATTTTTAGATGTGTGCAGCTTCATTTTTGCTCTTCCAGTTCTTAATTAAGAAAGCAGTGTACTCTTAAGAATGAACTAACAGGGTCAGGGATATAGCTCAGTGGCACTACGCCTCCCTGGCAAGTATGAGATTGTGAGTTTGATTCCTGGTACTTTTAAAAAAAAAAAAAAAACAAGGCAGAATGAGCTAACATAGTGTTTTACTCCATGGTCAAAGGACAAAGATTTTTTTAAAAAATCTTGTCTAATTTGAAATTATAATCTAGTTGTATTGTGTTTAGTTTTAATTTTTTTTTTCTTTTTTGAGTGGCTTTATAAACTGCCAGGTGTTTCTGTCTTATAGATTTGTATCACAATTTTAAACAGGTTGTTATTTCACATAAATCTAGCTTACAAATTCAGACCAAAATTTTTTGTGGCTCTTTTAAAATGTACCATTTGGTCTGTGATGATTTTGCATATGTGTGCATATGTATGTATTTGTGTATGCAGATACACATAGATACATATTTGAAGAGAGTTATTTTCAAATCAGAAAATTCTGTCAAGGTATAATGCTTGCCTACTGTGCTTAAGGCCCTGGGCTTAATCCCCAGCACCAAAAAGGAGGAAAAAAATGTACTATCAGAGTTGAGTCGTCCAACCCATATTTTTGTGTACATTTCATGTCTTAATTGGAAAGAATTTTAATTTCCAGGAAAAGCAAATTGGTTTAGTGTGATTTAAAAATTGGGAAAATAGGAAGAGAGGTTTGATGAGATAATTTTGGAATGTGTGATAACTGTATAGACTGATGAATTTAGTGGTCCTTCAAAAGAAAGTTTTTGATCTAGTTTAGGTTTGTGTGAAAAAGAATTATCTTACCTAAAAAGATTCCCTGGTTTATTTTTTTATGAAAGATCAATTTGTGGAATGACCAACTAAAAAATGTTACCAAAAATTCATGTTAAAATCGATATTAGGTATAAATTGTACTTTGGTTACTAGCTTTTTTAACCTATTTCTGATTTTTGTTGTCAAAATAGAGGGGAAAAAAGAGGTAAGTTAGTTTATAAACAAGAACTACTACTTTTGCTAACATGTTATGTGGAGATACTGCCTCATTTATATCTTTCAGAATGGTATTAGAAAACTTCTGTTCATTGTGTAAATTGTTGGGAATTTTGAAAATCATTCACTGGTGACATTGGAAATCTAAAAGAAAATTTGGCCTTTAATGCTTAAGATGTAGCCTTTAATGCTTTGGAAAGCTAGCATTTATATTAAAATGGAAAGCTGAGAAAATCATAACATTTTATAAAAGCTCTGATTTTGAGCTATAATTTTTTGAGAGCTTTATGACGTGATCTCCTCTGTCATGAGTATCCTAAAAATGAGATCACCATATATTTAGTTTTGGTACTACAATAACAACCTTTTTCTGTTTGTTTGTTTGTTTTTGACAGTACTGGAGATTGAACCCAGAGCTTTTACACTGAGCCATATCCCCAGACATCTTTTAACTTTTTAAAATTTTGAGACTCACTCATATTGTTGAGTCTCACTTACATTGTTGAGTTACCCAGGATGGGCTTTAACTTATGATCTTTCTGTATCAGTCCTCCAGAGTGTTAGAATTATAAATAGTGCCACTGAGCCCAGCCTACAGAGTCATTGAATATAATCTAAGCAGTAAGGAATCCTTTTCCTGAACTTTTAAAATACAATCTATCATCTGAGTGCATCATGTCTTACATTTATCTTTGTTAAAGCTTATTATAAAAAGTTATACTCCTGATGGGCAAATTGTATAACCTAATGAATAGGTTTTCTTTCTTTCTTTTTTTGACTTTTTGAGATGGTCTCATTTCATTGTTCAGACTGGCCTCAAACTGATTATGTAGTACAAGTGGACCTCAAATTCATGGCAGTCCTCCTGTCTCATCCTCCAGGTGCTGGGTTTATAGGCTTGTGCTACCAAGCTGGATGGGAGTTTGTGTTTAAAATAATTTTTCACGTATTTACCCTTCCCAAATTTAAGTAAGTCTTAATTACAAATAAATGTAATTATAAGGACCTCATGCATGTAATAAAGTACTTGAATATTTACCATATAGAAAATTCTTTCTCCTAGGCATTTAATAAGCATAAGAAATTTATGTTTTAAGGAATTTTTAAAAATTGGAACCTTTAAAGAAGTTAGGAGATTTAGATTTCTGAAAAGTGATTGCTAGATTTCTCTTTCTCCATCTCTTTCAGAAATGTCAACCAGTGGTTGGTTGCTGTTTTCCTTGGTTAATTGCACAATGTATTCTTCATAACTGTTTGTTTATTTTTAAGGCCATGGTAGGGGAGGAGTGTGTAGGTGCCATCGTTTGCAAGTTGGATATGCACAAAAAGATGTTCCGCAGAGGTTATATAGCCATGTTAGCTGTGGATTCCAAATACAGGAGAAATGGCATTGGTAAGAAAAATACTACTTCAGTAAAAGGACAAAGAAGTTATTTTCAGTTTCATGTTTTAAAACAAATTTACATGTAAATATGTGGAAATGAACTTGAAAGTAAAACAATTAAGATTTTTATTTTTAGAAGTTCTTAAAGGGCATTATTTATTTTTAAAAATTTTATTTAGATTTTTATTAGTACATGCTTGTGGTACATGTACATTACACATCTTAACCTTTTTTATCCCCTTCCACTCCCTTTATTAATGTTTTGGAGATTAACTGGTGATCAGTTTTCACTTCTAAACATACTTCTTTTCAGTCATACTACATACTTGAAGAAGTACTGCAGTTTTTAATAGCATTAAGAGGGCACTTAATTTGGTTAAGTGGACAGCCAAGCCAAAGTAACAAGTAATTATTACCACTGTTCAGTGGTAGTTGTCACACATCATGTTGCAGTTTAAAGATGGCCTCTGGGAGGAATATTGATTATTTGTTGCTATTCCCCAACTTCTTCTGGTATTGACCTTTTCGGGCATGTCTAGTTAATCTTGCACTCATGGTTTTTAATGGTTGTTGGAAGCCAGGAGTGGTTCATTTAATAGCATATGTAGGCCTTCTCCTTGACTTGCGTTTGCCCTGCTAGAGCTAGGACTAGAGTTTCCCCAGGTGCCTAGTGGAACCTGGTTGAGGAACCACTGCTGTAGTGTTCAGGACTTACTGGATCTTGTTACAGTAACACTTGACTCTGGGATGTGTTTAAGCTTAGTGAGTATTGATGAAGTATTTGATTGCAATACTAATATTTAGTAGTATTATGTAATTTAGTTTTTATTTTTTTATAGTTTTAAAACTAAATTTGAATGTTATTGTCTGATGGACAGTTTTACACAATCTTCAGTGTCATTAGAAGTCATTATAAATAGATTTAATTAATAAGCTAGTTTTTTCTTTCTGTTTTTAAAATCTTTTTCGTATCAGGAATCAAACTCATGACCTTGCGCTTGCCAGACAGCACTTGTGCTGTGGAGCTAAATCCCTGGCAATAAGCTGGGGACCCCCTCCCCCCCGTCTTCCTTCTTTCCTTCCTTTTTTTATTTTTCTTTCCTTTTTTTTTTTTTTTTTGGTTGGTTTGTCTCTTGGAAACAGGTTTCACTATGTGTTCAGGCTTTTCTTGTACTCACTTTGTATTCAGACTCACAGCAGTCCCCCTGCCTCAGCCTCTTGAGTGCTAGGATTACAGGCATGTGCCATCATGCCCAGCTCATTATTTTTGTGCATGTGACAGTGTCTCACAGCATTGCCCAAACTGGCCTGGAATTCCTGTGCACACGTGATCCTCCTGCCTCAGCTTCTCAAGTAACCGAGACTACAGGGATCTGCCACTGTTCCTGACCCATTGTGTTAGGTGTAACCAACTTTTAAAAACATGTATAATAGTGTTCCAGTTTTCTACTAATGTTTTCTATGAATTGGGATTATTTTCCGGACCAAGTATAAATCCTTCATGCATTGAAAAGAGCTGATAAAAACTTAGTAAAAATAATTATTTGGCTGGTTCACAGGGCATACACTAAGTGGCTTTAGGGTTGCTTCCTGGCATTGAGACGTACTTTGTGCGACTCATTAAATGTATGCACAGTTTCGAAGTAAAAGTTTAAACTAAAATGGATCTTTTAAAACCAAATTTGGCAGTGTTTTTCTTCTTAATGTTCAGTGTCAGACAAAGCTGACCCAGATCTAGAATACATTTTCCTAGACATTTTCAGACACACCTCTGATGTCACTCACAGTGCCAGATTTCATTGTGTCCAGGCTTACTATGAGGTTGTATGAGCCAGCCAAGAGTTGTGGCCCACTTGTAGGCATAGCAGTTCTTAGGAGGAGCTGTGAAGATCTTTGGCAAGATCAGCTCAGGTTGTATAGTAAGTTCTGGTTAGCTAAATGAGTTCTAGGTTGCTCTTGCCATACCATATTTTGCCTTTTTCTTTTTTCCTTTGCTTCTGTCTTTAAGTGGAAAAACAATAAAAAAGAGCTCTCAGTTTATATCCAGTTTTTTTTCTCATGTAAGATATCAGAGTAACTACATTCAAGATAGAATGTAACAGTAGACATATCTGTGCATATTATGAATTTTATAATGTAGATTCTTTAAGGAGCTAATTATGTTTTCTGTTCACTAACACTTAGATCTGTGTTCTAGGTACTAACTTGGTCAAGAAAGCTATATATGCCATGGTTGAAGGAGACTGTGATGAGGTAAGTCTTTCTAAATGTTGAATATGTTTAGCTTTTCTAATATTTGCCCTGCAGATTTCATTGCAGACTTATTACACAAATGCAGCTTGTGAAGAGAATTTTATTCTATGAATTTTGAGCCTGGCACTCTGGCACCTGCTCAACAGTATTCAGCTATTCAGGAAGTTGAGGTAGGAGAATCACAAGTTCAAGGCCAGCCTAAACAACCTTATGATTCACTGTAACAAAATAAATACTTTTATACAAAGAGATGTAACTCAGTGTAAAGGGCTTGTGTAGTGTGAGTTTATTCCATAGCATCACCCCTCCAAAACATGCATGCATCTGCAAGTTTTGATTAGAATAAATTTTAAGATAATGGAGTTTAAATTCCTTCAAATGTGAAGGTGAAATCATATATATTTTCTGTAAATAATTGTTATTCATAAGTTTTGTTATCAGTTAAGTCATCTAAGTCATTTAAGTAAGTATTACAGACCCACATATTTCCTTATATACTGGCCTTAGTGTCCCTTTACAACCTTCCTCTTTTCCTCAAATCTTGTGGAACTGTCAGCTTATTTGGAGAACATTTAGTGACTAAAAACACGTCTTTGAGTGTTAGATAATATTAAGGCTGTCATTGACTTTTAAATGTAAAGATTTCTGAGTATTAACATAAGATCACCTTTTCAGCTTGTAAGGCCTGATGGTAGGTATAAGTTTATATGCAACAGCATTGTGCTTTCATATAGTGCTGAGTAAATATTGGTGGTGACTAGTAATGTTGACATTCCTGTTGAGCAATGTGGAGAGAATGAATGTAAATGAGAGACATATAGATGTCTTTACTATGACAGTAATAAGCAAGGAGGAATAAAGTTGCGTTATATTAGTAATTTTATGTATATGAGAATACAGGTGACAATTACATTTATTATTGGATAGCAGATGTCTGTTAGAGAGTTCCCAAATATTGTGAAAATAAGTTATTTTGTCCAACAGATTGACCTTAATAATTTCTTTGGCGACTTTTTATTTATTTATTTATTTAAATTTTTTTTTGTCTTTTTCCTTTTTATCGGTACTGGGGATCGAACTCACGACTGCCTGTTTGCAAGGCAGGCGCTTATGCCGCTGAGCTAAATCCCCAGCCCCTGGTGACTTTTTTTTTAAGTGGCGCTTTTTGTATAAAAGGTATACATGGTCATTATGTGTGTATGTTTTGTTTTGTGGTACTAGAGATTGAATCGAGGACCTTTGCTCTAAGTTACATCCCCGTTAAACTCCCCACCCCCTTTTTTTTCTGAGACAAGATCTCATTAAGTTAGCCAGGCTGGGTTCATATTTGTAGTCCTCCTGTTTCAGTCTCCCAGGTGTTTGGCATTACAAGAATGTGACATCATAGCTTGCTTGTTCCACCATCTTTATGTTCTTCATTCTTATCTGTCCTTCTCTCCAACTCTAGCTAGTATATCTCCTTCCATTTTCTACACAAACTTTTATGCAAATATTTCTTGCGAGGCGGGTGCTTACACCACTGAGTTAAATCCCTGGCTATATTTCTTATACAAGTGTAATTTTTTCATAAAAATGAAATCATCCCACAATAATGATACTGGTTTTTATTTAACAATATCTCAGTGCATTTCCGTGGTAAAAATACAAAGATTTACTGCAGAATATTTCTTTTCCTTTGTGCATTGTTTTTTTGTTTTGTTTTTTGAGACAGGCTCTTGCTGTAGTTCAGGTTATCATTGAAATCACTATGTAGCTCAGGCTGAACTTGATCTCATGATGATCCTTCTGCCTCAGCTTCCTGAGTGTTGGGTTCACAGGTGTGTGCTACCATGAAGGATGTGAATATTTATTTTCATGTTCTATTCACTTTATATTCTAACAGATGACATGAAATGTGGTTATATGAGAGGAGTCCTATAGACATATGAGGTAGTTATTCTAGGTACATAATTTTACTTTGAATGGATAATTCACAGCTGGTGAAGGATTTTGCATTGTTTATAGCTTTTAGTATCTGAAAGTAAAAGACACAGAAAAACAAGTCATTTATATGGTTAGTAACTACATTTAACTTAAGTGAACTGGGTAAGTTCAGGAATGTAAGACTAGTTTTGAACCATATCTAATAGCTTAGTCAGCTCATCAGAAAGAGAGAAGTCAGGCTTCACAAAGGTTGCTTAACAGTTTAGAAAAAATCTTGGGGTTCATAGGCCATGTTTGCTCTTCCCTTACTACTGAGTAGAATTGTTTGTAGTGAGTAGAGGGATATTGAGGGCAGGGAATATTTTGTTCCTGTGGTTAAACCTTTTATGAGTTATTCCTGTCTCTACCTGTGAGCCTAGTTTTACCTTCACTGATCAATGTTTAAATACTGTTGGTTTTTGAAAGTTTAAAATACGTAGATTTTGATGGTATTTTTTAATGCTAAGAGAAAACCCTAAATTAGTGATATACTTTATTATAGAAATGTTCTTGGCCAGGCGTGGTGAAACACACCTGTAATCCCAGCACTCATAAGGCAGAGGCAAAAGGATGGCTACAGATTCAAGGCCAGCGTGAGCTCCGTAATGAGGTCAAAGCCAGCCTGAACTACATAGTGAGTCCCTGTCTCAAAATAAAAAAAAAAAAATGAAAAGAATAGGAATGTTCTTTTCATTGTAGGCCAGGAAGTCTTAGGCTCCATGAATGCTTTCCTGTTGTATGATTTTTGGGTGGATTGTTCCTGCAGTTTGAATTATCTGTGCTTCTGAATTAGAGTTTTTCTTAATTTGAAGAAAAAAAAAGATTTATGTGTGTCCTACTTTGTTCAGATAGATTATTTGCTGTATGACTAGATAGAGCTTTTGTTTTTAAATTGTATGAACAACAAATCTTTTCTCTTTTTTTAAAAATAGTACGTTATTGCTTCTTCCTTTATTACTATTTTGTCCCAGTTTGTTTGATTTCTGCCCACCTACCAAGGAGAAACTTTATCCACTGATGAATTTGTTAGATCCGGTAGCTTGTTGGTTGTTCTCTGCTTATTAAAATACTTGCCTGTCTTAAGACCCAATTCAGTACCAACAACAAATTCTCTTTTATCTTACTTGACAGGATCAGTTGCCCCCTCAGGGTTTTTCCTGACATTTTTGTAATATTTACTGCACTTTTAGTGCCTGTGCCTTAATCGCAATACAGAACAGAGATGCCTTATCTTGTTTATTGCTGTATTCCTAGTAGTTAGTGCAGTGCAGGGTTCAGAAGTATTTGAATGATTAACTGTGTTTTAGCATACTGTTTGTGCCTCTTTAAAGAAGCACTTTGAATTTTGACTTGTGTATTGTCTTTCTGCACTTTATCTAAACTTTCTTAGAACAATAACAGCCTTATTTTTATACACAGTACATAAAATTTTAAAAGCAAATAGAATCTATAGAGCTAACCACTTTTAAAAATCTTTCTTTCTTTTCTTCCTTCCTTCCTTCCTTTCTTCTTTGCTTCCTTCCTTCTTTCTGAGACAGAGTTTCTATGTAATTCAGGCTGGCCTTGAATTCACTGTGTAGCCCCGGTTGGCTTCAAACTTGTAACCATCCTCCTGCCTCAGCCTTTCAAGTGCTGGATTATAAGTGTGTGCCACAAGTCTGGCTACCGAGTTGTTAAAATGAAATTTGGGTACAAATTACTGTTTTTGAAAATAGTCCTTGCTTACAGTGTATTGTTCAGAGGAAGTATAAGGAATACAGAAATGCAAATAATTTGGAGTTAATTTGTGAAGTACATTTGTATACCTAAAATAATAAGCCCATGAAGTAACCATTAATTTTCATGTATTTTCTCTTGAAATTAATTAGAATGTTGACGGGTGATTTATCAGCATAATTAATAGGGCTTTATTTTTTTTAAGTTGTAGATGTCCTTAAATCTTTATGAAAATTTGAAAATTATGAGGCTTTTAAAAAAAGATATAAGGTATGTTTACCATTGGATTAAGACCTTACTATGATCATAATAAAATGGAATCAAAATTTCTTAGAATTTAAAGGTATAGCACATGCTTTGAAAGATTTTCAGTTGAAACTGTCATTTTTTATTTAGTTAGTTAGTGTAGTGCTGGGGCTGAACCTGGGGCTATCTGCATGCCAGGGAAGCATTCTATTACTGTTATAATGAACACATTTCTCCTTTTGAGAAGCCATAATAAACATAATAAAAGTTGGAAAATAGAAATAGTCTGCCACCTTTTTAGCATATGCATTTTGATGTTTTGCCCTTTATTTTGTTTTTGATGCATATGTGTTAATATTTGTCTTTGTTGTTTTCACTGTTGTGGTTTTGTTTTTGTTTGAGGCAAGATCTCACTATATGCTGGCCTTGAGCTTGGTATATAGTGCTGACTGACCTTTGACGCTTGCCTCTGTCTTCTGGGTCTTGGGATCAGGCATTTGCCTATATGTCAGCTCTTCTGTTAAGTGTTTTAGGCCCTTGTACTATGCTCCGTGACCTGTCACATTGTTTGCAATTTGCTTTTCTAACAGCCTAAGTTTCTTAATTTAATGTTGCTTATTTCTAGCAATATATGAGTAATGCACAAGATATTTTGGTGTATTCTAGTCTTAAAAGTAATAATTACCATACTTTGTATCATTAAAAGAATAAAATAAAACATTATTAGCTAGATTATTGGAAACTAAAGAGATCTAAGTTATTTTTGGTTAAAATATATATACATATAAGGGTAGAGTCAGTCATTCTTTTTCTTTCAAAAGATAAAAGATGACTTTTTGGCTTTTAATTGTGTGTGCTTATTACATTTATTTACGTGTTTAATTATACTTTTTTTTTTCTTTTTTTTTTGTCTTTTTCCTTTTCCCTTTTTATCGGTACCAGGGATCGAACTCACGACTGCCTGCTTGCAAGGCAGGCGCTTATGCCGCTGAGCTAAATCCCCAGCCCCTAATAATTATAATTTTAACATTTTTTATTTCACTGGAAACATATTTCGACTGTGGCATAGAGGCTTCCAAGTATAGACAAATCATTTATTTTTTCCAGACTGTCACTTAGTCTGTGAAGTTTGTTGTTATTTTGTGTAAAGAATAATAAAGCCCTTAGCTGTTCATTCAGTAGATATCAGTGGAAAGAAGGTCTACTAGGTGCCAGACAGTATGAGTGGTTAGGTTCTGTGGGCATGCCTGTTCCTCAAGGGCTTCCAAGCTTACATTATTAAAAAATGTTGTCTAAATTGTAATGGTTTGGTTTATCCTGAATAGTGATTTGTTGCTAAGAGAATCAGTGAAATATTACTCTTAACTCTGACTCTGTTAAATAGTGTTCACTTTTTTCAGTTTTCTTTAGAACCAGAAAACCCTCAATTATCTTTTGGCTTCCTCTGTAATACTTCCATAATGGAGGAGTAAAAGCAGTTTTTAATAAATTTCAAGTATAAACCCAGATTTTCTTACAATAAAAGGATTTAACTGGTTAAGCATTAAAAAGTAGGTGCTTTTTCCCCCTGACATTTTCTTTTGTATTAAATAATACATGTTCTCTTTATTTAGAAAATGTAAGTGTGCCCAGGAAATCTTTACATTTAGAGTGACCCTTTGTATAATTTTTTTGTTTTGGGACTTCATTAATTTGTTAGGATGCTTACAGACTAGAGTTTAACTGTTAACTACACTTCAGTACTGTTTGTGTAGCTATAGATAGCCTTAAATGTATTGTATGTGTTTTAGATTGTTAAATATTAATAGTGGGGGACTCCGATCCTTTCATCCTTTCCTAAGTAGATTAGCTCTCCCATTTGCTGGTTTTTATTTTGCTCTGTAAAGTATTTGGGAAAGTGCAGAAGAGTGGTTACTACTAAGCTCAAGTTCATATTTGGTCTGGTCACCTTATATTTCATTTCATCTGTGAAAGATAATCATTATTTTTATAGAATTGTTGGAAAAGTAGCGACATAATACATAGCACTTCTTTTTAAAAATTGTCAATCTTTTTATTTCTATGAAATCAGTCACAAGTTTTGTATTGTTGCAGTTAATTGTGTGTCAATAAAGTGCTTTGGTTAACATTTTAGGTACTGATCTAATAACAGAATTCCAAAAATTACCCAAGAGAATTGTTTAAAACTAAAAACTTACATTACACTCAAATGTTCCAGACTGTAGCATGGCATGAATTAGTAAAAATTCAATTTTTCTAAGATCATAGAGAAATTAAATTTTAATTCTTATCTTAAACCAACTTGTTGGCTGTGTAGCTTTTGTTTTGTTTTGCTTTTTAAGACGGTCTCACTGTGTAGTCCAGGCTGTCTTTGACCTCACTGTGTAACCCAGGCTGGCCTCAAACTTGCAGAAATCTCCTGGGTTGGTGTCCCAAGTGCTAGGATTGCAGGCATGTACCACTATGCCCAACAATAGCTTTTATTTAAAGTTTTCCTAAGAGTATTTTTACTGGATCCTGAACTTTTGTTGGTGGTTTGGTTTGGTTTGGTTTGGTGTTTAGGCAGTGCTAGAGGTTGAATCCAGAACTTTGTGAATGAGCTATATTCCCAACCCCTTTTTTAATATTTTATTTTGACAGAGAGTCTCACTGTGTTGCTATGTTACCCAGGCTGGGATCCAATTTGTGATTCTCCTGCCTCGGCCTCCCAGCTACTGAGCTTACAAATGTGCATCACCATGCCCAGTTGATCCTAAACTATTACTTGGTTTTAGATCTTTTACAGTGTTCAGTGTAGCACGAAATTTGCTTTTAGGAGTTAATTGCACAGATAATTGCTGTTGAAAAGTGTGGAAACACTTCTGTTTAATGTTTATGTATTGTATGTCATCCAATGAAAGGTGCTGAGAACACATTGAGTTAGCAAGTATTTAAGAGTTTTTGCGTGCCAGGCAATATGGTAGGTATAGAGAACATAGCTGTGAAGGAAGTATGCATTGTACCCTGTTGTGTTGGTCTCACCATCTAGGATGGCTGACCTTCATTAATCATTAGAATATTTCAGAGGAACAGTACAGAGTGTTGTGGGCTAGTAAAAAAGAAAAGGAATATTCCACGTGATCTGAAGTAAATAAGCTAACTAACACCATAAGTGAGAAATATAGGAAGAACATCTTTCTAGACAGAAACAATTTTTATGATAAAACTAAGGGAGGAAAGATCATGGTAAATTGCAGACACAGAAAGGTTGGTGTTGAGCATGGAAACAAAGAGGAGAGAGATGTAGAGCAAAACTAGAGATGTTGGTAAAGGCCATATCGTGATAGATTTTCAGGGACTTGTTGAATTATTTTTAAACCTTGGACTTTATCTTGATGACAGAGTAAATAGATTCTTTAGCGGGGAATAACAAGCATCACTCATCAAAAATGAGAGTTCTTGAGTTAGCAGGCTCTTGTAATTATAGTGGGTGTTAATGGGAACTTGGGTTAGGTAGGGTATTAATGAGAATAGAAGGGAGAGAACCAGTTTGAGATGATTTAAGAAGGAATGTTAGCAGTAGTTAGTGCCTTCATGTATAGGTGCGTATGAGGTAGTATGGTGGTGGGATGGAATCCTGCTTATTGAGTGATGGCATTGCAGAGAAAGAGTAGATCATGACAGTATGATCGGTTGAGGCACTTTTTTCTGTTTATATCTGTTTGAATTCTTGTCAGACTTTTCAGTAGCTTGAGATAAACCTGGAAGAACCTCACATCTTTTAGGAGAGTCTTTGTTCATCTGAGCTTTGCTATTTTTTCTGTCTGCCTAAACACCTTGAGGGTGGTAACGGCTTACTGTGGTGTGAGGTAGGTGAGATTCAAAGGCAAATAGAACTGTAAGAGTTGGGATGATGGAAAAAGACCCAAAAAAAAAAAAAAAAAAAAAAGAGTTGGGATGATGGAGTCAAGAGTGTATTGAAAAAGAGAGGTAAAAGTGAGTTAAAAACAGTATTCAAGATTGTCAGTTCTTCATTTTCATGGCCACTAGTACAATAATATTTAAAAAGACTAATGGAAGTTAATCCTTTGTGCTCTTTGTTAAGTTTTGTTATCAGTGATGTCTAGGCCAGTAGTTCTGAAATCTCAGCAGCAACACCATCACCTTGGGATTTATAGTGGTGCCTTGGTTCACAAACTTGATTCCTTCCACAGTTTTGGCCACAAACTGAATTGTTTGCTAATTAAATCGAATTCAGTGACTAGGTTCAATGTTGACCTTAGGAGGAAATTTGATTTAGTTCATGACCAGAATCATAGAAAGAACTCATTTTGTGAATTGAGGTACCACTGTACTTGAAATTCAGATACTCTCTCCTATTCAGAAACTCTAGGATTGGAACTTAGTAATCCTTCAGATGATTATGGTATACTTTAAAGTCTTAATAGTCATGGCCCAAGTTAAGCAAACTTTTTCTGCAAAAGGACAGATGGTAAAATATTTTAGCTTTTGTAGAACATAAGTATTTGTGGAAATGGCTCGATTTGTGGAAATGCTCTGTATCAAAATGCGACCACAGACATTTAAAGAGATGGGCATGGCTATTACGGTAAAAGTTTGTCTACAAAAGCAGGCAGCAGGCATATTTCGCTCAAGGTATGTAGTTTACAGACTCTGGTATATAGTAGACAAATATGATAGTTGTTATCAAGATAAATGATAACAGTTGGAGGTCAGTCTGAATAGTTTGAAGTTCTGGTTTACTTTTTAAACCTTTATTTTTGTTTTTCTTTTGCCACCTTATTTTTCTCCACTGGGAAATGATTCATCTTTGTTTCAGCATAAAACATACATTCTTGTTAAAAGTTCGAAACACTATAAAAATCAGAACAGAAAGTAAGTCCATGGAGATCCTACTTCACTTAGACTCAAAGATAATTATTGTGACTATTACATCATTAGTATTGGTTTCACTATCAGTTTTTAATCAAGTCATAATATAGTATGTTTTTCTTAAATATTTATATAGTGTATGCTTTGTAAGCTTTTCAAATTATTATAACTCAATTTTCTTTTATTTCTTGAAGGTTGTTTTGGAAACTGAAATAACAAATAAGTCTGCTTTGAAACTTTATGAAAATCTTGGTTTTGTTCGAGATAAGAGGCTGTTCAGATACTATTTAAATGGAGTTGATGCACTGCGACTTAAACTGTGGCTGCGTTGAGAATTGACATCGAGGATCAACTTCCAACCACAGAGTCGACCTTTGCATGCAATGCAATTTGTACAGAATTGCTTTGCAGGTGGATTTAGTAATTCCCATGCAGCTCTTATCTGTCAGTGTCTCATTGAGTGTCGCACAATATTTGTTGCACTTTGGCATGGCGCATTTGTTCTGAATTAAAAGAGATTGTTTTAAACTTCAGGAGTTCTTTTGGTACCAACAAGATGTGCCAGTTGATAGCCAAGATTTGCTCATTTGCAGTCTGCTGATGATGTTATTTACATAGTGACCATTTTATCACAGAACCAGTAAGTGGAACATAATGTTTGTTCCTTAAAAAGCCAACGTAGAGTGTAAAGTCTCTGAGTAAACTAACATTTCACACAAAACCTGCCATAGTTTTCTGAAGGGGACGAGGGGAAAATTTCAGTTTTACGTTTCATTTTTCTCCATATTAAATTTTCCATTCTTGAATATTGGTACCTCAGTGATTAGTGAATGAAAAAAAATGTAGGTTGGGATATGTCTTACAGTGAGTAAAGATAATTAAATTGCGTCTGCCAGTGCCTGTGTAGATAAGTATATTTGTCTTCATCTCTAGGTTTTAAATGCATGCTCTTTTCTTTTTCTTTATGGCCTTTGCAAGCAAACTTTTGTTTTTATTTAAATTCTAAATTTGACAATAAATTATTTCAGATTTTTATAATTTGAATACTTTTTCCAGGTGACAGTGATTCACCTTAGAAGTCACTTCTTTCCTTACAGTAAGAAATTGAATCTTGGAAAACCTTTGCAAAATGGCTCAAAAGGGATGAGAAAAGTTGTTGGAGCTGGGAATTGCTGAGTTTTGGATGCACTTTTTTTTTTTTTTAGGGAACTTTTGGAAAATAGAAAATTAATGTAAATTGGTATGATTTTATTTAATCAAAATTACTGCAACAGCTTTTATCAAGTAGCTAGAAGCATTTTCCCCACAATTTGGATTCACATTGCTTCCTTTTCTTAAAATGCTTCACTTTGGTTCATGGTCTTCAAAATAAATTTCAAGGTGCATTGTATCCTTAAAAGCTGCTTTTATTTTCTTTTCACTTGTCTGAATAGGTTCTTGGAAAGAGCTTTGCCGTGTTCTTCCAGAAAAACAAGGGATAAAGGAAATCTTTTTTTAATGAGTTCTTTGGGTTTTCAGCCACATGTTTTTTAATTATGTTGTGTTTTGTTGAATCGGTACAATGTAACAAATTTTGAAGTTAACTGCTTTCAGTTGAGTCAGCAAAGATATGGTGGATAATTTATTTAACTGGAAAACCTAGGTACCCATAAGAAAAGATTTATTCTCTGTGAAAAAATGTTTTGTAGCATCTATATTATTGCTGTTTTCATTTGAATATGCTTCACATCTGTAGGATTTGGTTTGAATTTTTGTGACTATAATTACTGTATTTTTAAAAAACCCTACCTCCATTAACAGTTGGTAAAGGCCCCTTTTCAGGAAAGTTTGCTTTTTTTTTTTTTTTAAGGAAAGCTGCTCTTTGCTCAGTAAAGTGTTTTGAAAGTGAACATGATAATTACTTAAAATAAAGATACACAATTTATATTTGATGAAAATAAAACCTTCCTGCTGTAGTGGGATCGTTTATAATTCCTTATTCTAAAGAAAACTTTTTCTTTCCATTTTATATTGCTCTTTAAAATTTAATGGGCAGAATACTGGATTATTAAAAATATTACCACACAGTACTCAGCTTTCTAGCTGACTGTTTTGCTTGTGTTTTTTAATCAGACTTCACTGGGTTCTACCATTTAGAACAATAGCAGTGATAGAAATGTTTCTGTTATCATTTTTAATATGAAGGAAACTAAAACAGTATTACTTATGTCATCAAATTTATTTCACCCCTTTCTGTTTGACTTGCTGATTAATAGATAGTAATTGTTGATGAAAACACATTTTCTTGACTCAATAATGGAGACAGTTATAGATACTTGATAGATTATCAGTTCACCCATCTTTGTTTTTGTCAGGTTGTCAAACTATAACCACTGATCCTTAACCCCAGAATGCTGGATCAACTGTGACCTGAGCATTTGTAAAAATGACCTTAACTGTGTGACTAGAAACTCAGTGGTTGCCATAATGTTCTATTGGTGTATGTTGAATATCAGTGTATACCTTAGGCCTTTAATTGGATGTGCAAAAATTGTTCACCTAAAACTTTAACCTCTATCGTGATAATCCAGCATCAACATTAAAAATATTCATTCTAGTTGAAATGTATCAAACATTAATTTACTTTAAGCTTTTGTTTTTCTTAATATCAGCTTAAAATAATTTCATTTATAATTAATAGAATGAGTTCACTTGGCTGAAACTGAGTAAAATTGGTGCAACTTTCTTTTAATAGGGTGCTGCCTCTTTAAGACTGACTGTACTATCCACTGACACTGGTTTGGCAGATGGTACTGCTGAAACTTTTTACACATGCTATCATGAAGCTATGTATGTAGTATTGAAGAAGCTTAACGGGTATACTACCATTTTTGATGTGTGAGCTGACTATAGTTCTCCTTATATTGAGATGAAACTACTTACTCCAGAGACGTTCACACATCAGAAACCAGACCTTAGTTTTTGAAGTTGAAGCCAGCAAAATAAAAAGAAAGGAATTACTATTAAAAATTGGTTTTAATATTTTCTGCCTCTTTTCTCCAAATTACCTTCCCCGTTTGCTTGACCAATGTATGTAAAAGGAGTTTGTCACATTTTAACTCTACCTTGCCCTGTGTTACAGTGTCAACTGACATGCGTAAGGCTGGATGTGTAATATTTATTCTGGTGTCTAAAAATCATGAAATTCATCATTTTACGGGAGCATAAATAACATCAAATTGGTGATGCATCAAAGACAGTTTTCATTGCACCATGACATCTCTATAACGTTACAGGGCTTTCAGGTTTGTAAAAACATAAATTATATTGACATCAGATATGAGTTGAGTATCTATAAATATCACATGTATCTCAAAATATTGGACTGCTGTTGATGACTGGATATTGCCACATAGTCCTCTCCTCTTGTCCCCGTATCCTT